TTGGTTGTTGACAATTGGTTGGTGGCAATTGTTGGGTTGCAATTGGTGGGTGGCAGTTGGTTGGTGACAGTCGGTTGGTGACAATTGGGGGTGACAATTGGTGGGTGACAATTGGTTGGTGACAATTGGTTGGTAGCAATCAGAGCGAGGAGGAGGAGGGAGGCGGAGGAGGAGCGGATACCACACTATAAAAACAAAAAACCCACACGTCAATGTGGGGAACAAGTGCATTTGCCTTTGCCAACTCCATCCGCAAGGCTGCCTCTTCCGCTGCAGCCTGAAAGTGAGCTTTGGTAAGCTTTGGCAGAGACGCAAACACTCAAGTATTTGCGCAAAGTGGCCCTCTTTGACGGCTGAACACATTTGATATTGGATGCACCAAATTATAGGTTAACTTCAATCCCAGAGACTGGTGCTTCAAAATACAGCATTTGTCATAATTATCTTGTTTGCCACACTCATTGATTGTAAAAAACGCTTCGGCTAGCAAACAACATGCGTTTCACCCCATCTGTCCTGTCTCTGCTCCTGCAAACAACATCTTGTGGAGAAACAGCAACTTCTATCGCTCTCTTGTTTACAGCGATCCACTTTGCACCGCCTTAGGCGCAAACACACTTCGATGGTTGAGTATGTCGCCCATACTAGACAATACCTACGCAAACTAGCAAAGGAACATATAACTCAAACATGTCCATCGTGCCCACCGAAAACCGACTTGCGACTTGCAAACCGAATTGTTCATGCTCAATATAGATTCTACTTATCAAAACTACTTATTCAAATGCTCATTCACTCGCCATTGTCTTTTCGTCCTCTTCGAACAGTTGTTGTTGGGCGATTGCCTCGTGTTGTAGAGCAAGCAGCTCCTGCAAATGAGGACATAAGACCTTTCAACTACGTGGACCATGGGAAACCAGGTGGGACATTGTGGGACTGATGGTTGAACATGATTCAGGTGAACTAGCCTGTGAAGGTTGGCATATCTGATAGCGATTGTCATCATCATCATCGTCATCATCAGTAATAGTCCCTCTCTCTCTCTCTCTTTTTCTCTGAAGTCTTAACAGCGTCTCAATGTCATCTTGCAGTGTGCAGTCCTTCTGTGTCTCTTCAAATCGGCGTCGCCAATGTTCTGCTGGGAGGCCTCCACCGAGTTGATTCGCACAGCAGGGAACTGAACTTCCAAAGCTCGCCCAAATGACAAAATGGTACAAGCATCTCATTTCAGCTTACACAATTCTTCTAGTACCAACTGCAGATCTGTGCTCAGACCCTGGCGAATTGCGGCATACATCTTGCGATGCTCGGCTGCCTGCCCAACTAGACCGCTTTCTTAAAACCTGTCTTCGAAACCACAAACAACGTCAAAGGGCCATGGGCATGAGAAGGACATCAGAACATTTCAATTTCATCTTGGTGCAAGAATCCATGCAACTCCTGCGTTTGACGAACATCATTAATCCATTTGTATTCCGATTTTTTGCGCTCCTCACCTCTCCTGTCCACTCAGCTTCTGCACTCCGACCCTCCTAAATTTTAGGCCAAAAGCTTAAATGAGCAGATTCTGAACTCCGGTTTGCGCAAGACTTGTACCGCGAAGAGACACATGTTTACATAATGTGTTGCGCGACTTGGAGGGCCGCAAAGCCAAGTTGTCGCAGGAAACACACATTGACAAAATTGAGCCGAAAACACATGTGAAACTGTTGGCATAACATGGCAAAGGGCAAGGCGGCCGTAGCAAATGCTGGCAAGCGCTGGTGACGGAGGATGTTCTTCATGAAAATAGAATATTGTTCTCCCTCGTTTATCGCAAAGAAGTTCACGAACAGACTTTGATGGTGCTACCCTTGTTTCAACCGACAGTGGATAGATACATAGAAAACAAGGTGAGCCCGCGGACCCAAACGCAAAAAGAAGCGCGCAACCCAGGAAAAATACACATTAGCAGGCCAAAACAAAGCATCAGCCCCCTCCAGGCTTCGTGGCAACCATGATATTTCCAGCATCGCGGTTCTGGCGCGCATCCGTCCACCCCCGTCTGCCATATACACCCCCGTCCACCCCTTGGTCAGTTTTGAAAGCCCTCCAAAACGGTCATAACACGATTGCAACATGGCTTCTTGCAACTTGGGCTGCCTTCGGCATACATTGCACGCATTCTGGACGCCCAAGACCGTCATATAGGCCGCGCCAAACAGTTCCACTCGCGCAATAACGTTCTTCCGCGAGGCATGGAGTAGCATTAGCCCCCCCATGCTTCGTTCTACTTAGCATCCACCTTCCTTCCACAGCCCCGTCCACGCCCGTCCACCCTCCCATCTCGATCCATATAGCCCCGTCCACACCCATCTTCCGTCCACGAAAATGCTTGCCTCGTCTCGCTCTGCCCCCCCACTAACGACTAAACTAAACGAGAACCCAAGCATCGGAGATTCTTTTGGGAAAAGCGCGCGCATGTGTACTGCTGTGCCAGCGCTACAGTGCATCACACGCGGTATAATGCTTTCGGGTCATTCGTCGTCTAGTGTTTTAATTTTTTGGCGTAGATTTCCGGTGGCGTGCATCGTTGGCATGATCAGGGCGTCGATATGGCGGAGATATCCCAGGAGGAGAGGATTTGTCTTTTGTTTTTCTCGAACAAACCTTTGCAGGCTTCGATCTTAAGAATTTACACCGGCATAGACCCTAGAGCCTAGATAGAAATATCGTTGCAGTAAGAAGAAAACAAGACGGTTCCCTCTTTAGTCGGGTTGGAAGTTGGATGTATTATATATATATATATAAAGTGGCTGTTTTCAATCTGCAGCTAGTCTCCAACAACATTGCAACATGGCTTCTGACAACCGTTCCAGGAAGCATGGAGCAGCATCAGCCCCCTCCATGGTTTGTTCCAACCATCCATTTTCATGCATTGCGCTTTTGGCACGCAACAATCCTGCCGTGTCGGCCCTGACTTGACTGTCTGGCGCATGACTGTTTGGCGCATGCATTGTGCGCATTTTGGACACCCAAGACCAGCCCCGCAACACAGCTCCACTCACCTCCCAACGTGCTTCCGCGAAGCATGGAGCAGCACTACCCCCACCCATGCTTCGTTCTACTTGTGCACTGACCCGGAGCAGCCTGCAATGATGCTTGTGGTGCAACCATGTCCTCGTAACTAGCATATCAGCCGCGCAAGCATCCACACCAGCCCCCTCCACACCCATGCACCTCCCGTCTCGCTCCCCTCCATCTTCCCTCCCCACAGCCCGTCCGCCTCCGGGATAAAAATTGATTCCTATCAAAAAGAAAATTGACTCCTATCAAAAAGACCAGGCGACGGTTGGCCCGAGAGCGAGACGTGTAATTGTCCAGTACTGTCGAAAAGATGTATAGAACGAGAGAAAGAGAGGGTGGATGTGAAGGAGTGACAGTGTGGATGTGCAGGTGCGATATAGATCTGTAGATGTATGGAGGTGGAGAGCTAGATCTGTGGATGTGAGCTTGCGAAGATGTAAATGCACAGAGACGAGAGAAAAGATATGTAGAAAGAAAGAAACAAAGAAAGAAAGAAAGAAAGAAGGACAGGACAGATGTGAAGGAGCGACAGTGTGGATGTACAGGTGTGATAGATGTGCAGATGTGTGGGTGTGGTGAGGTGGAGAGGTAGATCTGCGGATGTGAGCGTGTGAAGATGTAAATGTAGAGAGGTGAGGGGGTGTAGACGTAGATGCGTCGATGCAACGGCAGCGCAACGTCAACCTTAGTTGTGCAAGTACAACGCTGAAGAGGTTCAAATAGAACTGAAGAACGTACATTTCACACTGAAGTTTCCACGAACAGGGCGACCTGAGAGTAAACGACGTCACGATCATGACAAGCGACTCGTGTATTCCAAGCGAACATCGTTTGTCATGAAGGTGAAGTACACACATACTAACGTCACGATGACTCTTTTGTGGCAGCCACATATGAGTAAGCAAAGTAGCTAAAATTTGTCAACCTCTCAAGAGAGCCGGGTGGTCGGGAGACATGACTCAGCTGCAGGGGCGCCAGAGCAGCCGAGAGAGATGACTCAGCCGCGAGAGATGACTCATCCGCGTACTAAAGTTGCACTACAAAGTCGCCAGTTCTCAGCATCCATCTCCACAGCTTGCTCTGCGTACTAGAGTTGTACTACAAAGTCGCCAGTTCTCATCTTCTAGATACTCCGCGTACTAAAGTTGTACTAGAAAGTCGCCAGTTCTCATCTTCCAGCTCCCCAGATACTCCGCGTGCTAAAGTTGTACTACAAAGTCGCCAGTTCTCATCTTCCAGCTCCCCAGATACTCCGCGTACTCAAGTTGTCTTAGAAAGTCGCGAGTTCTCATCTTCCAGCTCCCCAGATACTCCGCGTACTAAAGTTGTACTACAAAGTCGCCAGTTCTCAGCTTCCAGCTCCACAGATTGCTCCGCGTACTAAAGTTGTACTAGAAAGTCGCCAGTTCTCATCTTCC